TGTGGCCTCTCCCGCTGCGGAGCACAGGCTCCGGACGCGCAGGCTCAGCGGCCACGGCTCACGGGCCCCGCCGCTCCGCGGCATGCGGGATCTTCCCGGACCGGGGCGCGAACCCGTGTCCCCTGCACCGTCAGGTGGACTCTCAACCACTGCGCCACCAGGGAAGCCCCCTGTGGCTATTTTTGTTATAACATGAAAAGCCATCGGTTTCTGTAATCAGTTGGTTAGCATACTTTTAACCTATAGAAACGCTTGAAATCGTGAACTTTCTTTCCATTTGACAAGCTTTCAAACATAAGGTAAAATGAGTTGGGATAGAAGAATCACAGTTGGGCAGAATATACTAATTATAGCAATGATATTTGATAAATTTAAATTAGCCAAATAGTTGGATTTTTAAAACTCAGGTGTTTTCATGAACGTTCAGGTGCCACCTTCCCTTCTTTTCGTTTTATTTGTATTTTGTAGGAGAGCAATTAGAGCTGCGTTTAACAACAAAACGCGGGCAGCTATCCTGGCCACTCACTGCATGGAGGAGGTGGAGGCTGTCTGTGACCGAGTGGCTATCCTGGTGTCTGGGCAGCTAAGGTGGCTGTTTGCCGCGGAGAGGGGGAGGGGCGCAGGGCGGGGCAGGCGTCTGGATTTTGAACGCCGTCATTTCAGAAACTTATAATAATACACATTAGCTTAAATGTTAAAAAATGCTCCCTTGTTTTATCAGCTTTCTGTAGAATCACTTGGAAGTATGTTACTTTTTTCCAAAAATTGGCCAGCCACTCTGCATTTGGAATTGGCTTAATTATTCAGCAACTGAGAGTGTTATTTTCAGGCATGATATTTGCTCTTTTTAAGAATTGGTAGGCATTGTATGGGATTGTAACCCAGCGTATAAAATAAATATACGAGTTCATACTCATATAGGTAAGCGATGGAGTAGGTAAATAAATGTGGGAGTAGAGACACATCTCTTTACAGAAAGATGCCAGATTGTGTAGTATCTCCCAAGTGTCGCCTGGACTTAAAGCCAGTCTGTATTCTGAAGTATGGGAAGGGCTGGATAATAACTTTACAGCAGAGAAATGGGACAAATACCACCCTAAGCAGGCAGGGCCACGTGGTCATCACATGCCCCCTGGGACGCGATGAGAAAACACTTCAGCTCTGTGTCCTTTGCTCCGAAAACCCGCACCCCAGTCTAATCGTGAGAAAAACATCAGACTACCCCAAATTGAGGGACATCCTACAAAAACAGTTCTCAAAACTGTCCAAGTCATGACCAAGACCCAGAAGGATAGAATAAGGAAGTGTCCCCAAGCAGTGGAGACTGAGGAGGTGTGGCCACACAGCACAGCGGGATCCCGGGTGGACTCTGGGGCAGGAGGAGGACATTAGTGGAGAAACCGGTGAAGTCCAAGTAAAGGCAGTAAACTCAGTACTAATATACCGGTGTTGGTTTCTTAATTTTGACAAATGTGTCGCGGTAATAACACAAGATGACAGCATTAGGGAAACTGAAATTGGGGGAGGGGTATATGAAAACTCTGTATTATCTCTTATATTTCCAACTTTTATATAAATTGACAAGTATTCCAACGTGGGAATTTTATTTAAATCATTCTTAAGTGAGAAATTATCTTCAAAACTGTCAGGTTACCTTATATCTGTACTTCCTTTTAAAAATTACTACAGATGTATTGGGACAGTCCAACATCTAAAGAGTAAATTTGGAAAAGGATACTTTTTGGAAATCAAATTAAAGGACTGGATAGACAACCTAGAAGTAGACCGTCTTCAAAGAGAAATTCAGCATATTTTCCCAAATGCAAGCCGTCAGGAAAGGTGAAGATTTTAAAATTTTAGTTACGAGCAATAATCGTAAAAATTGGTTATTGTATTCAGGATTAATGAAAAAATGTCGTATAACCAGTATTGGACTAACGTAGTTTGATGAATGGAGTTTTATGAAGCTGACTCATTTTTAATGTTAGATCTTTCAACATGTAATAGTATTTAAAGTTTTTAAAGTTCTTATCCAGGAGTAATGAGAGAGTTATTTTATTGTGAATGGAAATATTTTAAGATTTCAAATAATTTTTATCTAAATAAGTATCAAAGTAAGTTATTGGAGTTTTATTTTGAACTTGCAAAATGTTGAACTTTAGCTTCAGAATGCACAGTAGTTATTTTGAATTTACCTGTATTTTATCTTTGCTTTCAGTTTTTCTTCTATTTTGGCTTATAAAATTCCTAAGGAGAATGTTCAGTCCCTTTCACAATCTTTTTCTAAGCTGGAAGAAGGTAAGTAATATTTGAAAAACATTATGAGGTAGCTTTAGAATTATTAAAGAATTTTATTAAGAAGTTTAGAAGTTGGGACTCAAGTTTACTGTAGAAACTATGGTAAGTAAGAAGATGACCTTTTATTACTAATTTAATTTAAACTGTAGGTAAATACTCACACGCCAGGGATTTTGTAGATTAACTGTATTGTAGTGTAAACCTTTCACTCTGGACTTCACCGCGGTTTTTCACGTTGCGTCTCTGAGAAAGTTCATCTTAATTAGCCCTCACCAGTTCAGTCCAGAAGTGGGAGCACTGAATTTCGTGAATCCTTACTTCGTATTAGACCAGAGAGGTAGCAATGGTAGCAAGACACCAGTGGCAGGCAGGGAAGGGAGAGGAAAATCCATAGCGCAAGAGGGTAGGCATTCCTAAATCTAAACTTTAAAGAAGTTTATTGGATCTTGGCATTTTAAAAATAAATGTTAGGTGGGATAAAGATACCTCACCAGCAGAGAGAGGCAGTCTCCTGGATGGGGCACGTATTCATGTACAGGTTATTTTACGGCATTTGGAAACTACGAAACTTCCTGGTGCTTTCTTTTTAAAAGAAGAAAAAAAGCGTTACTTCATTAAATATACTTTTATTGTTTTTTTTGGCTGCACCTCGCGGCTTGTGGGATCTTAGTTCCCCGACCAGGGATTGAACCCGTGCCCTCCACAGTGAGAGCACAGAGTCCTAACCACTGGACCACCAGGGAAGTCCCTCCTAGTGTTTTCTTTATGATTAAAGAGAACATTTGAAGTAATTAGGGAGAATTAAAGGAATGAATAGAAAACCAGAAATTTGATATTGGGCCAGAATGCAGACGGACCTAAAATAAATACAGGAAAGCATATGGACACGTGACCGATAATATCCAGAATCTAGTGTAAGAAGTCCAGAGTGGACTGTACTGGGACTGGGGGATGGGAGAGACAGAGCAGGAGCAAAAGAAACATGAAAACAGGAGGAATGAGGGAGAAGAGGAAAGGAGGGGAAAGAGGGGCTGCTTGGAAAAGGAGAGTGAGGCAAGTCCGTCCCATGAAATACGTTGCGCTTAGGGCCGTGGAGAATTGGGCGGCTGGGAGAGAAAGGAAGCAGATAGAGGAAAGTGACCTGTATTGGCAGCTTTAAATCGAAATGAGTTGATTATAGAGATTAAAAAAACAACAACAAAAACCAGATTGTTAGCCACTCAGTAGTTGTTGCCATTTTATTACTTAAAAATATTAATAAGTGAAATATTATTTTTATATTTTAACAGCGAAACGTACTTTTGCCATTGAAGAATACAGCTTTTCTCAGGCGACATTGGAACAGGTACTATCAAGTTAAATTTAAAAAGTCCTTCTGCAGAAGAACGTGTCCAGCCTCTAATTGTTTAGGTATATATTGGACAGGGAAGGAGATTGTGAGCCAGAGACCAATCGCTACAGAATATTCCTAAACTTTGTAAATAACAACTTGAGCTTCTCCATCTGCTCATTTTGAATAGCTCAGTATTTTTTCTTCAGTTAGAAGAAAATGAGTCATGATGGGTGGTATTTCGTATTAGCCCATCTGAAATTACATTGCTTAGATATTTATAAATATTTTTTATGATGCTACTTTAATATATCAATCAAAAAAACAAATAATCTATTAATCCTCTAAAGTAACATTCATCTTTTTGTGGGATTAGTGGAGATTATTCTGTTTAAGTAATGTTAATGGCAGTGTATCTCTTGATACTTGAATGGTTAATGTAATTAGGTATTGCCTTATGCCATTGCTGATTTAGTTAAAATTTTTGTTAAGGTAGTTGCACAGCAGAATATTGTGTTCATTAACTTATTTTCATTTAGGTTTTTGTAGAACTCACTAAAGAACAAGAGGAAGAGGATAACACTTGTGGTGCTTCGAACAGCACACTCTGGTGGGAAAGGACACAGGAAGACAGAGTCGTATTTTGAATTCGTGCTGCTCAGTCTGCTTACTGCATTTCTTTCTTTTTCGCTTTATTTTAACTTTGGTTTAAACGTTTATTGCTTGAACGGTAATTGGAGAACCATGAAAGCACGTGGGATTTTCCTGACTTCGTTCATTGAAATGCTGTTGGTTGTGTGTTTTGCTTTTCTTCAAATGAAACTTGTGTATAGTGCATTGAAACTGCGCGTTTGTATCTGAAGTATACTGCACTGTAGTCTGTACGTGAAGTTGAACATGTACTTTTTCACTTTTCAGAAACAGTGCTTGTGATTTTTATGGTTTGAAGAAATAGTGATAGAATCATCTTATTCTGAACAGTTATCTTTTAAGTTTATACCATCTCGTTACGTAAGTATGTAATACCCCAATCTAAATTAAAAAACGAATACCTAAATAACATATAGAACAGAGACATAAAGCAAAAGTTTGCTTCTCCTTTTTAATTTCTAAAAGAACTGGATGGAAGTTGGCATCCTAAAAACCTGAACACTGGACAGTCTCAGTGCACGTAGAGGTCTGCAGGAAGTGACATTCACTGGGTGGCACTCATCAGCCAGAATAACTGAAACGAGACCTTGTTCTGTTAGGTGATTTTAGACATAAGTAACTCAGGTACAGTGCTCTTGTGACAGTTCTTTTGCTTACGGTAAAATTCAGAGGTGTTTCCATTATTGTGGAAGACTATGTGTAGAATCTTATTATGTAATAGTCTGATTCTTTGACTGTTTGTGGCTAGAATGACGGACGTCTAGAGGAGCTACAAGAATTAAGCCATACCTTGTTCTCCACCCCTTGTGGAAGATAGAAACTTTCTTGTCATCTTCCTTCCAAAGGGCACATTTTCTTTTATTCTAGAAATAAACTGTATTATTTGAATATCTCTCTCCTTTTTAGAGTTTTAACTGTATCACCGTGTAGACTTATTTAGTTACTCGTCTCAGATTCACTTTGGAACGTGGTGGAATGTAAATAAGCTTTTGGGCCTGAAATTAAGGATAAGTAAACCATACATAATCCTCTTTAATAAGAAACCAGAATTTCACTCTCTGACAGAGTTGAAGTAAGATTATGGTTAAGACAGGATTAGAAATATTTCCTTGTAGAGCCCACGTGTGGCCTATAGATATAATATAGTATAAATCCTACTAGTGGACATTATATTTCAACCAGATGAGTGAGAGTTATTAACTTTGTGAAAACAAATATATTAGGGGTGTGTTTATTGCTTTACGAAGAGTCTTAAAGCACAGCAGCCGCAGCAGAAGAATTTGGTGCTGAGCTCCTCTGAAGATCCAAACCCTTTAATGAAGCTGTTAACTAACGTAGGTGAAACTTAAGTTTTCACCGTCCCGTGTAATAAGACAGCTGTGCTTTAAGGCTCTAGCAGCTGATGTACAATAGTGTGCCTTTCTCAGCCCCGGTACAAGGTACATGGCTGATACCTCCCTCTGTTGCTTTGGCCACATTGCTAGCAGTGCAGGTAGGTTACCTGCCGTCTCAGAGGTCTGTCTTCTAACTAATCTAAATGAGCTGTTTTACAGCCTCTGGTCGGATTCCACAAGCTGCAGCGAAGTTCCTTCCCCTCGTAGCATGCAGTGGCCTAGTGTGTTTAATCTTTATTATCCAGGCACTTGCCTCCTGATACCTACCATTTGGCTCTTCACCTGAGAATCTCGCTTTTCCATCTTTAGTAAAAGTTGTAACTTTTAAACTACAGTACTACACGATGAAGACAAGTCAGGGAACCTTGGAAAGAAAATCTTTACCTTTGTAGATAAATTAGTAAATAGCACATTGTATTTTCTAAGCAAGTCATTGCTAACCAGTGCCGTAAAGAGATATCTTTTAGTGTCTAATATTCATGTAAATACCCAGGGTTTCTCTTTGCGGGGCCGTGTTTTTGTAGCTCTGCTGACCAATCATAATCACGTTTCCTATCTATTAAGTTCATTCAGCTACTTCACTATTATCGTGCTCTTGTAAGCATTTTTTTTTTTAAAGGACTTTTTAAAAAAAGTTTTTACATACTTAGAGTGAATATATTTTGGTCATGAGTTAAATTATTTTAATTTAATTAAAATTAAAATGTAGGAGTGTTCTGTTCCCATTTTTTCACAGTAAGAGAATTTTTTCTATTCAGAAGTATAATTTAACTACTACTTAGGAAAACAAGGGTAAGTGGGGTGGGAAGAAAAGGACACAGCAGGTCAAATATGAAATTTATCTTTATTGACAGTGTACAGTTCAAAATGTCTTAAATTATAATCTCAAAACGTTTTTTCTGTACCAATACAAATAAATATAAATACATATATTAGGAAAAATTAGAAAAAGCCACATCACCTGCCTTATATTTTCCACCCACAATCAAATCTTAAAAGTGAAGCCCCGGACTTCACGGAGCGACCATGGTTCGTGACTAATAATGCGAACATCTGTCTGCAGCGTCAGGAACGAGGCCTGAAAAACACGATGATGAGCGTCCTTTACATTTCTCTTTGTGAGCTCTTAATCTTTCTTCCAGTTTGTTCTCAGTAAAAGGCCGTGGGTTTTCTTTAAAGCCTTGTTTTTCCTTTAAATTGGCCCAAACTATCTAAAACCAATATTTTTATCATTAAAATGTTTTTAGAGTAATTTTATTCAACAGACATCTTAGTGATCAAGTTTCAAGCAATGGGTTCTTTGGATAGAACAATAACTATCCACTTTGGCCATGTAAGATCTTAGACTCTAGTAGGAAGAGGTTAGATACTTATGTACTTTAATATAATATGACAGATGCTTTGCTAGTGGTAGTAACACTATTTTATTGGGGCACAATTCTACTTAGGGTAAGTGTTGTCATGCTTTTATTGTTCTGTTGGTCACACAACATTTTCTTCTAAATGTGCTCTGAATTTGAGGAAAAATCATGCTGTATTTTTTTTTTTTTTTTTTTTTATAAATTTT